TCACATATATTTTGAGAAGAAATTTCAGGGATGAGGGGGCGGAATTTTGAGAGGGATACCACCTCAGCAATTGATATGGTAATTTAGTGACAATGACATGAGTAACTTTCCCAGTTTTTTTAATTTAGAGTCTTTCCGGTGAGAGTTCATTACAATTTTCGGTCGACAATATTTTCTATCAAAAATTACATTTAAACAGTCTCTACAATATTTAGGAACCTTGTTAGCTTTATGAATATTGATTGAAACTACTTCTTTAAGAGTTCTATCTACTGCCTACCATCTCTTACTATTGTGAGCGTTTGAAACTTGAGCAACTCCAACCAGGTATAAATTTGTTCCGTGTAGATGGAACAAAAATATTCCAAGGTCATCTTCATCATTAAAACGCATGACGGCTGACGAGCTTGCATACAAAACTTGAGAAATTCATCTCATTGAGAATAAAAATGCTATTTTCTCTCAAAATATTCGAGTTTGACCTTGTACGTAGAGTTATAATATTCAATTTCGAGCCTGCCTCTGCAAGACGCTCTTGATGGTAGTTCGTGTGAGGAAAAAACCTCCACTTTAGAAGAGTCATCAAGCTTCACTAGAAACTTAGCGAAGGCCTCGCCAAAGCCTCCTCAAGTTTTGATCGACCTCCGTCACTGGCACATCGCCGAATTAATTTCGGCATGAAGTGAATTTTTTTGAACCGGTAAAAGAAAACTTCAGAAACACTTCTCGTTTATTGCGAGTTTAAACAAAATCAGATTTCACATATATTTATTTCATAACGGTGGGCGAGTTTACGGCGTAATAATTTGTATTAGTAAGTTAGAAAAAAATTATTTATTTCTTGCATTTCAATTTCAGATTCTCATCATCTTCCTTAGAAGAACCCAGGTGGATGTATTTTAAACGTTGAGTGTACTTTCTGCAACAATATAATGGAACTATTGTATAGCATGCAATCATTGGATATTTTGACAGCATTAACAGTATCACCTTACTAATATTGCAAATCAAATATATTGGATCACGAGAACCCATTTTATACATATTTGTGATGATTTTTAATTCTAGAAATTTTGAAGCAGATGTTGTGGCAACATCGACCAAAGTATTAGAAGGACTTGTCTTACGGCTTGGCCATTCGTTGATTCTTACTAAAGCCAGCCGCTTGTCTTCTTGCTCTTGGTAAGCTTTAGGTTATCTAATGTGTAATAAAATAACTGCGAGAATATGTTCAGAATATTGTTGTACTCATCTAGTTATCAGTGATTAATTAATTTAATGAATTTTCGTGTTCATTTGTAGGAGAACTTCCCTCCTCTGTTCTGCTGTCTACTGTTCTACTTAATAAACTTGGAACTTGAATCCAGCCTAATGACATTCACCCATTGGAAGTTACCGTCAATGAATTAATAAACTCGTCCGTTTGAACTTGAACCAATAGAAACATTACAATATTTACATACATTCGCGGATACATATTTATCTGCGAAAATACTGAAGTCTCATGAGAACAGTTTCCACTAGGTTTCCACTGCAATAAAAGTATTGCGATATCACATTGTGCGGCTGACGTCCTAGGGATCTTAACTTGACTCCAGATATACAGCAAACTTAGACGAACACCCAGACAAAAGTTCCAGTGAAGTACTGAACTTTAATCTGTCAAGATATTCGCATGCTGAAAACCGTGCCCAAGCAGCGATGGATGATTTCTTGGATGATAATAAAAAAAGAAAGGTACTACCACGATTATTTATGTGGCTTTCTTCAGCAACGATTCCCGAATTCCTTACTTTCATTTACATTTGATAATTTTAGTTGGTAACAAAATGAAAGAAATTTAATCATTCACTAAATATCACATGAAACACATATTCCGTGATTGATTACCATAAAAATATCGGATATCCGTTTGACCCAGAGCACAGACTCGTTCAAAGTGAATCATCTTAAAGGCAAAAAGTTACCGTGCGCCACAGGGGATTTCTCGCAGTACCCTGTACCCAACCTGTCTTACGATCAAGGTTACCGGAACAACTTGCATGAATATTAAATATATTATATCTCTATATATTGAGATATTTCTAGCTTACCTGCCTGGCTCGGACCACTGCTGCAATGATCAGAGGGAAAGGAATGTGCAACCTTAGCCGGAATTTTTGATGATCCTCTTCGAAAAGGCAAACTCTTTCTGGGGCTGACGCGAATTTTTTTTCAAAGGCAACTCATATGGAGACCTGTCTAATGAGGCAAAAAATAAGTTTGCTTGAATCAGTTCGGGGTGTCCTTTTACTTTACCTTTTTAAATTATTACTGGCAGTCGAGGTAAATAATTTATTTGAATTCGAAGGAAGCAGAATGTGAAGCTCATTATTTGATCGCCAAAACCTGATATTATAGAATACGTTTTCTACCACATTCAAACCCGTTTCATTAAAAGCCGTTATCTTTTCATTTGAAGGCAATGCCAACAAGAGGAATGCTGACATTGAATTACTATCAAAACTTTTTAAAATTTTTTAGATTATATTAAAAGTTTTATACGCACTGAATAATAATTAAATCAACGAGTAAAAATTATATCAACGAGTAAAATTTAATTTTGATACATAACTCCTTGTTATTATTTCTAAATGCTTCCGGTTCCCACGGCGATAAGGGAAATTGCATGTCGGCTGATAGCTGTAGGTAGCTACGCACCGATCGGGAACCAAACTTTAGTAGCTATGTCACTTCAATATTTTATTAATATAATAGGTCTTTTAGTTGTTTTTTGAGAGCCTTTAGGAATTTTCTTTCATTTGATTATGCAAGACCGACGTATCTCAACAAACGAATAATTGATGTTCGCTAATTAATACTTTCATAATTTTGATATCATAATCCATAAAATCTGGCATGCTTTTAGATTTTCTCCAACTCCAAATTCCATCTCACCGTTTGAATTATTCTGTTTTGAATCCTCCCCATATCGCAGGGAAAAAAATATTTCATAATAAATTTAAATATCTATCCATATCTAAAATATTCTACGTTATAAGCAGCCTGGAAGCTAATAGGGGCCCATGTATGGAGTTGGGGAACTGGATTGACAATTAATTAAAATATTAATTGGCGCATTGCATAGGCGGAAAAATTCACGAATTATGTTTTACGATTTGTGTCAACATCTGTTCCGAGGGAAAATTTGAAATAAGTATGATAATGAAATCGCTTATCGTTGACATGTCTTTTAATTATTCGGTCAAAACAATTGTTGCAGATTATTCTCAAATGAGGAAAATGTTCAACGGAGTTAGAAGTAAAAATCGTTATGAATTGTATATTTTATTTTACATCAATATTGTTATATCCGTAGAGTATAATACTTCTTACATCCTCTTATAATTAATTTCATGGCATTATTTTATAACATTCAGAAAAGAAACGCCAAGTTCGCAGGAATTTCCCAACGTTATGAAGGGTTTATCTCGGGTATTGATATTTTCTTCATTGTCATATAAAATAGCATTCATTTAATTAATAACTTCAGATATAGGCAACAGAGAAATAAAATGTGCATTGATAATAAGAGTTACAAGCAAAGCAAATATTAATGAAACTAAATGATTTATTCAGCTGACTGCCGATGTTAACTGTACTGATAAAGGGAATAAAAATTAAACTGCAAGAGGGGAGATTAGGTTGGGTACATTTCTATAGTGAGGACGAGGACGGATTGGATCGTGCAAGGATAAACTGAAAACATGTTTAGATAATTGTATATATTATCAAAGAAACGAGTTGTTTATGTCTCATTCTAATGAGAAATAAACAACCAATGAAAACGCGTGTAATATTTATCGGTATTATTACTCAGACTATTTTAATTAATCTCGGGTTTAATTGATTATTACGCCTCAACTCATCCAGCTTTGATCGAACGTTTCAATATTCATGGTAATTGTACGTAACCAAATAATATGTGGAGAAACTTTTTTCTGGTGGAAAAAATCTAGCATTAGCGAAAACAGTGGAAGTTGCTGCAGGTGAACCTTTCGTAATGCAACCAAACGAACGAACATATATGTGCACTGACACTGGGGTTGTACACAAAAACATTTGACTCGTATAAATGTTCACGCATGTGAACCATAGTTACACAACCAATAAATTAAATTTGAACGAACTTTTAGTCATGAATTTATGAGAATTGTTCAAAATGTAAATCTTAATTCACTTTAAACTGAATTTTGCTTTAAAATTTTCGATCGTAATGTTATAGCGTTAATATTAAAATGAACGGAACAGAATACTGAAATTTAATTAAAAAAACATTACATTATTTCGTAAGTGTCATCTACATTACGATTGGTTCAGTGTTGAAATTCTTCGACTATCGACTTTGTGTTGAGCATAAAATAAATCAATGAGTTTAGTCCATTGGAGTGCAAATGATCAGCAATTTTTCATAAGAGCTGTGAGGGATTTTTTCTATAAATTATTCGTAAAATGATACATGTGTTTGTTTCTCGTTCCGATGCAAACTAATTTTCATGGATATTTTGCAGAAGAGAAGCCAAGAAATCACTAAAAATTTTAATTGTAATCCAATGAGAATTCATCACTTCTCGATCGTTTGATGTTTTCAACACCTGCCAAGACAGTTGTTGTTCTGTATCAGATATTCGTAGGCATATTAATTTTTTTTGTTGAACTAACTTTCAAGAATTCTGTCCCGAACAAAGCTGTTAGCGGCGGAACACCAAGACGGCTCAGTCTCGTCGAACCGGCGATTACCGTCAATCCCTGCCAGAGAGCTGAATAACAGTTGATTAAACGGTGATCAGCCTGGGCACGAACCTTAATCGAAGCTTAGTCTTTCTTGCGTGCATAGACTGCGTATATAAATCATGGGGAAATCAGGAATTTGATTTGTTCCAATAGAGAAAGGAAACTATAAGAGAAAAAGAGATAAGTTTTGAATTTTTTGAATTGACCTAGATAATATTGAAAAAACGGAAAAAAGGCATTATAATATTTCATGCCTGCGCTGGCTAAATTTTTTTTCGTGCTGAATGCTATGATTTCACACTAGTCTGCGCTAGGTTTCGGAATCACTATTGTTGCATGCATTCGGGCAAAAAATTGGTTTCATGCACGGTAGGTTAAGTGAGTATTTATTCGAGTTTGTATAGCACATCCATGAAAAGAATGAGCACAGACTTCAAACACGATAGATATGAAGACGATGAGAAATTGATAGAAAAGCATTTACAGCATTTATACATTCAATACACTGGGGTTATTTTAATATTGTACGTCATATTACAACAACATTATTTTGACCTTTAAATTACTAATTATTTCGAACTTTAAAGCCTCTTTGGGGAGTAATCGCTGAGCTCTTACGTATTCGACATGAATGATTTTTAGGATCACATAAAAATTGAGGTTGCATTAACGCCTGACGATTGGCGACCGATCAACATCCGCTGAAAGCCATTGAGTTCTGACTGAATACGTACGTGTGTCCGTTACTTGCGAAGACACATCCATATAACAAGAAAACTTTGTCCACTGGGAATGACATGGCGATAATTTCATGGCATAACATGGGACACGCAATCGCGACCAGAGGTCAATGTAATGCAATTAAATGAAGCATGAGTCACGCAAGCTCATGCCGAAGTTTTCTTCGAGGCCTCCTAAGCTGAGAAAGTTTGGACAAAGGCCAATGAGGCTAATTAATTTATGCAATAGTCATAAATTCGTCAGTTATTTTAGGATGTTATGCTTGAGATATGAGCGGATATGGCACGTCATTTATTGAGTTATTCGTTAAATATACATAGGTCATCGATATTAAAAATAATAGAGGTATTTAATATAAATATTTGACGAAGAATTAGCAAATACGATGAGCGGAATTTGCATTGTATTAATTAATCGGAATAAACATTTATATACTCTGTACACGGACTGGTAAGCAAACATCCATTGGAACGAATTTAAATGGCTAAGTATTTACATGTACGAGTCTTAACGCCTGCTTCGATCAGCTATGAGAAGGAGGACGGGTGAGAGAGTGGCCTTGGACGTCGGATCTACACAAGCTGAGGAATATAAGACGAAGCTTAAAGCTGCCAAAATTAAACCCTGAGAGTAATAAGTGCAGAGAATGAGCTGCTGGAAGATGGAAGTGACAGACGCAGAGGCTGTTGAAAGCTTCATTGATGGTATGCAGTTGACGGAGCTGGCAGAACTTGTCGGCAGGCCGCTGGCTGAAGTGTCTGACACCGGTGCCTCCCGATCAGCCATACCGTCCCGACCTCGCTGCATCGCTGCTGGGTTCTCACCTGTCATATACAAGGTTATAATCAGGGAGTGTCATGGTTATCATATTAGTGACTACATGAATAATACCTGCAATAATCAAGTTGAAAAGTAGTGACGACAGTTTTTTCATGTATTGAAGCAGGTAAAAAAAATTAAATTAGAAATATTAGTTAAAATTTTGACATGCAATTGTATTTACACAGTATGACTATCAAAATGGTCAATATATAATTAACACAGACTTGATAAAGATGCTAATCGACAAAAGAACATGAATATATCCTATCGAAAAAAATTCAAAGAGTGTTGTCTATATTGATGAGCAAGACTCAGAAGAAAAAGCACGCTGGGCTTTATATGAACAAAAATTGAAATATTTTTGTGATAGCTATATTGAAATCACAATAAATTAATAAAATAATGCGAAAATAAATTTTCGCGTGTAACAGATTAGGACGAGAATCTTCACACAAAGTTTCGACTAATACTGCTTCCTACCTTTGAGCATTCACGAGTCTTACAAAATAATAATAATGTATGTGCAATTAAGACATTTTCACCAATTCATATAAATTGTTAAGATGAAAAAAGTACAAATTTTTCTGACAATATTCCATTCTCTATTTTCATGACATTACGAGTCCCTTTGACATTTTATATCAAAATTGCTTATCGTTACGCGTAATTAATTTAAAGATATTTATTTTAGAATTATTTTTGGTGTAAATAAGTATTGATACAGCACCGGCAAGAACATGGATGGTAACATTCGCAGGCACTGCGAGGTGCGGCTCGCAGCGATACTGTCCAGCGTCTGTCCTCCGCACGCTGGCGATGGACAGAGTGCTGGAGTAGCGTTTAGTGGACACGTGGATGGGGCGGTCAGGGTTATGGTTGACCATGGTGGTGTTGTGGAACCAGAAGACGTACAGTAAAGGTTCGGTGGCGTCCTCCACGGTGCAGTGAAGACGTAGCTTGGAGCCCTCGTGAACATGGAGCTCTTTTGGTCCTTTGATCACCGCTTGTGCCTCTGCAAATGATGATTTTGTGAGCGAAATTATTTAATTTGTTTCGAAGACTCAAATTATTCTTGCATCGAACTTACCGAAGCAGTGACGTAAATGAAATGGTTTACTTCCTCCATACAAAGAAATTTATTTAGAGCGGGTAATGAAAATAAATGAGTCAAAATACAAAACACAAGGTTGATGTTTTAATTTATTATTTGTGCTCTAACTGATGCTACTATTAACGGCAATTTTACATTAATAGCCTGTTTTTGAAATACAGTTTCTCATATTTTTGAATAGTTGAATTTAGATAGCAGACATCGTGATTGAAGATTAGCTGCGTTAGTCACATTTATGTCGGGAATTTATCGGTTCAACATCTTATTTGGATGATAGAAAAAAATAGATAGTAAAGGATATTTATTACTCGTGGGAATATAATGACTCCAATACTATGTAAGTAGAAATGTTCCTGAAAATAGTTTGCATCTTAATGTAAAATGAATGAAACTATAAATTTCTAGTGTTGAATGGTGAATGTCTGAATAAAATAACAATGAGTGTCAAGATCGAATTTCAGGAAAAAACTTCAAGAAACACATAAAAAGATGGTCATTTACGAGTAAATTTGATCGTATATGCAGAGAACGATACGTTATTTGCTCGATTTTACACTCGACAGCAAGATTGTTAGAGACAGAAAAAAACATTTAAAAACGCATGGTTCTTTTACTTGGTTTTTATGGGCTGCGAGGCCTTTATTTTATGCATGCTTTTAGGGACATTGTCTTCCCTGTTACTGGAGAAAGTTTATGTTGAGAGCGAACCTAGCCGACCAAAAGCCCATCATGCGAGGATTATGAAGTTAACTGACGAAAACATCGCTTCTGAGCATCCAAGAACTTTTGAATTTTGTTAACGTTATACAATATTCTTGGATGATGATAAGAGTTTTGATTAAATTTAACTGAGGAATCTGTACTAAAAATAATTCAAAGAATCAAATGACAGATTATAGAGATGTTAATTTAAACTATAATAGATATCAATTATATACCTCTATGCACTATGCAATTTATTGGCGAAACCACAAATCACATCGGAAAGACATTTATTTGGTGCCAGCTTTGATGAAAAATTTCACTCGGTGATGTAAAACAATGTTAGCACCGGCTCCACTTGGAGCATAATAATACAAAAAAAATATTTGAAACATGGAACTTAATGTGTAGTTAGTGTCTGATGCTGGTGATAATCTCGACTTTTGATAACAATTGCAGATTCACAGAGACTTTGTCATCTCTAAAGAATGAGTGTGCGGCAAATTCAATCTCAGTTCTTAGCGCTGGCATCAGCCAGTAATATCTTTCACCGCCAGAAGCTCGCCGTCTCCAGAACTTTACGAAAAAACAGCCCGGGCAGGCGGAGAGGCTTGAGAGGCGGCGCAATAAAAAATTGTCTTTGTTTTTCTAGCGCCAAGACTTGGACCCAATTTGAGTCGATCGCAGGGAGGAAGTAACCCAGACTTTTTGTATGCCTCCGCAGCAGTCCACAAACTTCTCACAGGACCTCGAGATCTCGCCGTAATTAAAACTTCCGCAGGAGAATCCGCTAAAATTGAGCATCATTAGGAATCGAAAATATTACAACTGTTGCTCAGAAACTCGATGAAGTCAAGCAGAGCTCACAAGATCGTGTAGAGAAAATTTAGCTCGCTGCCGACAAAAGTAATATTGATAATTAAAATGTTAGGTTTCACTTTTACCAACATTGTATGTTATTTTCTTAAACTTTTTCTTAAAAAAATAGCGTATTTTTAAGTTTTCAACAATAAAACTGAAATATGAAAATAACAAAGACTTGCATATATTTTTGAAATATACCTAGTTTGAAAAAAGATAAATATGTTCAGCTAATGCCTCATTGTGGACGAAAAATACGAACAAAATATTACAAATAAAGGCTGCATCTTTGGTCCCACATTATTGGCTTCAATTTTGTTGAAATTGGCAAAACTGGCAACGAAACGTTAGAATTTACACAAATCCAGGAAAAATTGAAATATAGGCTAAATTTTTTTTCCTTGTAATAAAAATTCTACTTAAATATTAACAAATATGTGATAAAATTTCATATATTTGTTTTCAGACTATTTATTTGAGGTTCCGTATGCTTATATAAAACCGCGTTGCTTCCATTATGTTTAAATGATATATTGTATTCAGACCTATAAATTTCATGGCCCTAGTTTAGGTTCAAAATTTAAAAAGATCGACTTTAAAAAGGCATTCAACTCTGTAAATATGGCAGAGCTGCTCATGCTCGTTATGAAATGTTGACTGCTAAAGAAGCTCTAATCTCGAGGGAAATCAACCTAAATGTTTTCATCAAAGAGATGATGGCGTGGAAGAAGGTGGCTAGTTATAAAATGGCATGGGAAACATAACTTTCTATTTAATTAAAAATTTACCAACCTAGAAGCTAACTTTCCTAATTTATAAATTCCAATACACACAATACATTAGTGAAAGTAAGGTATCATGGAGAAGAAATCAAAAGAGATTTTTATTTTGCTTCTGAATAGGTTTTCGGAACAAAATCACATTATTTCTCTTGACAGATTTTACAAGGCAGCTCGTCACAAGGCAGCAATCCATGAAAATTGAAATTGTGTCGCCACGTCATTTTTCATCATTGGTAATGATTGGTGATTAATAGCAACATGGTCGCCTCCCATTGTGAGTAAATTTTATGTCAAAACACAATGGATTAATCGATGGCATGCCATTTGTCATTCCCAGGCACTAGTATATGGTAATTTTTTTATTGTACTAATTTATCGAGGCGTTGCATACAAATGCAGCAACCGATCCATCACGGCCATCAATAATGCCCGCCACCAAATATTCGCAAACAATCTGCATGCGCACGCCAGGTCTCTTTATTTAGAATAATTTTGAAGCTTTACGCCTCATTGGTGTTAGAGATGAGAAATTTGATGTCACTTTAGAAATATGTCTTTGAGAACATACATCATTCAAATTTCTTTAACTCAGATGCAATAAAAAATATTGAAGTTTTAACAAGCAATTTTTATGTAGCAAACCCTACGATGAACTACTTTCTAAAAAAATTATACACTTTCATGTTAGTATAAATAAACATAAAATGTTAAAAGATCAGTAATGTGTTTCAGGTTCCTGATATTCCTTTAATATGTTCTAACTTACAAGCCCAGTATGTTTTAGAGAGGTAAAAAAACTCTTGACAACATGTGATTGCAAATAAGGATGAGAATTGGAAATCAGTACCTCTGTGTTTCAAAATGAATTTAATATGTATTTATTATGAATTTATTCTAACAATGACTCTGGTAGGTATGATGACGCAAAAATAATAATCATGGGTTCTAAAATAAATGTATTACCTTGCAATAATTATTAAGACATGATCGCAAAAGAGTGTCGCTCGTCACCAGAATCATACTTCATCTAATCTGACAATATCAACTAACATGATTTCTCACGCGGCGATGTCTTGATCAACCAACTTGCCTTCGAGACTACAGAATGGTGGCCACTCAGTATAGAATCTTAAATAATTTCCTTCACATCGATTTTGGATCCATAAACAGTGCTAACCCGTCTCACGAACGTCTTCCGTTGCTGCTTTCCGAACTGCCTGTTTGCTAAACTATCGGCTTCACTCTACGAAACCGGTCCAAGCTGCAAGGTTTCACGGGAAATTACGTACGTGGCTGATTCGGCCATCGACATTTGACGGCGCATAGCCTTCCAGACTGATGCAAGGCTACCCAGTTTGAAATAAAAGTATGAGCTCTACTATCTTGGTTCAGAGAAATGCCAGTGAGGCGTAAAGGCTATTTCAAAGCAGCGTTCATCCGCTAATCACGAGATGGAGTGTGACCTGAACTAGCGGGAGTAGTGCTAATACTACAGCATTTAAGTTCATCCAAGAGATGGTCGTCATTTCAACGCAATGGGGTTCCGAATACAGTAATATTTTGATGATATTAATATGCCTTATGCTCTTTGTGACAGTAACTGCATTTTCATATTATTATTTTTTCGAAAACCAGTTGCCAAGGTGACTTTGCTTCCAAAACAGACTGATATCGTAACATAGATTCTTTTAATGTACTTCTTGATAATAACTGGCAATTAAAAATATATGATCCAAGCTCCTTAAGTTGGTATTTTTTAAAACATATTATGAACTCAGAGAATTGTATAACTTGTTCGTTTTCTTTAACCATATATATCTATTTCGAAAACATTAGTTTTTCAATTTTGGATATTTTCTTTCTGTCTAAAAAGAGCAAGCAATTTAAACGTGGAAATTACTGTGCACATTTATCAGAAAAGATGATAACGTCTCGAGTAAAATCACAAAGTTCCAAGTCTTTTTCTTCAAAAATCATGAGGAAAAAACTAAATTGTGTTTTTAAAGGTTTACCCTTTAACCATTAACTACTATATATTAAGAAAATTTAAAGTTTATTTGAGGAGGTTGATAGATGATTCGATACAGGGAAAGTTTATTGAGCTCGTAAATGGCTTTTGCAACGAATCGAAGACACGAAGTTTAAAGTTTGAACGTGAAGTTATTTAAATGACGTAACATGGTGTAATAAATGGCGCAAAAATCAGACAATGCATAAAACAGACATATATACACGTATAAACTAGGCTCTACCTAATCATCTGCAAAACGAGTTTGTCTTCACAATTCAAGAAAGTAAAAAATTCGTAGCTGAGTCAATACAACAAGCATGAGTGATAAAGATTCGACTGGGTGCTGATGAGAAAGACGATAATTTCGTATCGAGTGTTAAGGGTCGGAACCATTCGTAATTAAGAGACCTACTAACTACCATAAATGAAGCGCGAACATGTTAACATATAAATGGAGTAATACGTTAATTTTACGCCTGCACTGAAAGTGTTATAATTTCGTATGTGTGGATGCAGTTGTTTCAGAATCAGGCAATTGACCGATAACTGCATCAAACGAACTTGAAACTAAACCAAAGTTGAGAAATATGTTAATTTTATACTAGCGAAGTTACTCTGGTCATTTCAGTGATGCTGTTATTTTCATTTCCAAATTATTCAATTAACATATAACTATCGCAAACTAACTTTGATCGATACCAAAGACAATAAATAGGTTAATTAAAAAGTGCGCAGTGGCGGTAGTAACATTAGGTATATATTTATAATCGTTTTCTAATTATACACTTAACGAAAAACTGCCGTAAACAAATTTGAATTTGAGTTTATATTACATATTAGCAGTGACTGTAATAATTACTGGTATAGGGGCTCAGTCGTTTTATTATTCGGCACTTTACTGATAGCCGCCACGAACTAACTTGGATTTCCACAAACTCAAGAAATTCGCAAATTTTACAGCTGCGCAGTCTCACTCATTTCATATTTTTCTTTATTAAATAAGGTCCTCTAACTTATCTACAGGCATTAAGGACATATCAAAATAACCTAAAATCAGAAAATTGCATACCACCAAATGCTCCATCTAGAAAACGCGATTTTATGATTTTTTAATGTCATCTCAATTTTTTGGAGACTTTTTTCGTCAAATAATTGCTGGCGAAATATACTTCACTGAAGTTTTTTTGTTACAATTTTACTTACGATTTAGCTCTACTTTAGGTTTAATCTCATATTAAACTTTTATGTTAATATTGTTAATTTGGATACTGCAGTTCACCTTACTGAAATAAAGCGACACTACTAAAAAACAATTATTGTTGTTAATTTATTATTGTTAATTATTGTTATTGTTTTCTAATGATATTAACACACACGATGCTTCTTAATTGAAACAAACATGTGTAAGCCTCAACAGAACTGTAAGTTTAATGTCATTTTCAGAACAAAGACTGGTAATCAGAAAATATAATAAAGATATCAGGGCATTATTAGTTATGAATATATAATGTACCCAAAAAATTGTGCTTACGTTTATTTTCTCTGTAACCTAATGGATTTTTTTAGCGTAAACGTGAAGTATTTAAATTTTGCATAATTTCGCTTGTTATTCGAAAACAGCTAGAAATACCAAACTAGAAATATTATGCATGTTTATAAGTAAAATGCCAACGCTTTGATGAAAAAATCATGGTTCGACAAGCTTCAAAGGCTATTTCTTCAAAATTTATGAGGAAATAACTGAAATGCATTATTTAGAGGCTTGCACCGTAACCAATAAATGCCGCAATCGAAGTGGCATCTCTATCAGACTAGAGGAATATGCTAATATTGCGCCTGCACAGAAGCTGTTATAATTAAAAGTATGTAGTTTTCGTCGTTTCAGAACTAGGCAATTAAACCGATAACTGCCGCAAACCAACTTGGATGTCAACCAAAGTCGAGAAATATGTTAATTTAACTCCAGCGCAGAGGCTGTGATCATCTCCCTAATGGCTTAAATACTTAATTATTCATGCCATATTGTTATTGATATCATGTCAATTGAAAATAATGTTGTTTCAGCCAAATACAATAGTACAATGTCAAAGTGAAAGGGGCGACACGAGGAGCGTCCCGCCTGGAATTAGATTCGTTTCCATTAATTTATTTGTCAGAAATAGAGTCGCTTTACAAAAGATCCGCTGTACAAACCAAGCTCCTTCGCGATATAACTTCGTAAGGCGGAGTTCTAGTGTATAATCCAAGTTAAATTGTTAATCAATCGTGATGGTGGCTAACAGTTGAACACACGATCGCTACAAATAAATTTTCTCCTTTATTTTCAATTTAACAGCAGCGTTTGGGAGTTTATTTGAGCAGTTATGACATGTTAATGACTAAAAATATAACTCAGTACTCACTGCAGTGAGGGACAGAGCGCATTTTCTCGTCGACGAAACCGTGGTCACGGACAGACAGACGGTCAGACAGACAGACAAACAGACAGACAGACAGACAGACAGACAGACAGACAGACAGACAGACAGACAGACAGACAGACAGACAGACAGACAGACAGACAGACAGACAGACGGACATGGCGAGCACAATAGTGCATTTTTTCCATAAATGAGAAAATGCACTAAAACATATAAAAATATAGAATTATTGATGACGCGCATGTAGGCGGTGGAGTGCTGCACAGAATACTCACCGACAACCCGGAGGTTAAAGAAGAGCGACACCGGAGGATGCGTCGTGAGTTGACACTCGTACACCCCGGCGTCCGATGGCCGCACTTTCCTCAACGTCAGTTCCCAGAGCTGTGGAGATGGATAGGTCAACAGATCAACGTTTAAAAGGTTAAGGTTTGATTCCAAATGCAATACGCATAAAATATTAATCTAAAAAATTGCAGCTACAATAACAGAAACATTTTCCTTTTTCAGAAGAAAACTGCATAGAACCTTCAGAAGAAAATTCAGAGGGAAATTATTTCGAAAATTAAAAGAAAGAATATATTATTTGAGATTTAATTGTGAGATAAATTGGATCAGTGGAAAGAGGCAAAAGTTTCGATGTCAAAATTGTTTTATTTCCCGTAAGTATTGTTATTATAACTTCAATAAGTTTATACGTTAACTTAATAATAGTTTTCGGTTTTAAAAAATACATTGCAGTCCTCTTTGCGACCTCAGTTCAAGAAGCTCAAAAATGTCATGACTGAACATTATTTTAATTCAACGCAAATCTTCCTTGCAGCTACACCCATGTTTTACTACCCGACAGTCAGTCACGGCAGAATGTTTTTTATTCCATAACATTGTCATGAATCAAACTGAATTGATTAAAGTAATGTTATCGGTAATTGATCAGTGCACAATGACAATTAATGTTCAGTTAAGGAGTATTGCAAATTACTGGTCTTTATGTAAGTTACTGGTGCAAGTTACTTCGATCCATGCATGAATGCATGCTTATACACTTACTCATCGATAGGAGACTAAGGACCTGGCTTTATTAGGGACCTGTTATTATCAAACGACGATCTTGCTCCGAGACCCAACTTCGGACACGTTTAGAAATTTGAAGTGAAGCAAGTTTTGACTCACTCTCAAACATGCGTAAAAGAAAAAAAAAGGAAACCATAATTTCCAAGCGATGCGATGAAACATTGATCACTTTTCGCTAGAGGAGTTTTAAACGTACGCTTCAATACGCCACAGAGACCAACCAGAATGTGCAATTAACGAAGGCGAACGCTACAAGCTTTTGCAAGCAAGGTCTAGCTCTCAATAATTCTAGAGTATCTCGTATTCATGAAATAACGGTCCAGCAGGCAGGGGAGGTGCCTCTGTGGCTTCCTGTCAATAAAGGCTAGAGACATGCAAATGAACTCTTTCCCAAATTGACTGCTGAGGACATCAGCTCACTCGAGATATAGGCCAGGCCTCAGTCAACCAAATTCCGAACTCCAAAATATGTTTTCCTGAGAATAATGAACTTTGAAATTAATAGCGTAGTCCACGTGCATTCTATAAAATGATTTGCGAGATGAAAAATGAATAGAATTTCTGCTCGATAAAATTCTTTTCGGCTTCCCATTCAGTCATGGAAAAAATTCATTTAAAATCGTAGAGAAAAATGTTATCGAATTTTGGTGTGTAATTTGGCTTTGAAATGGAGAACTTAAATTCACCTTCGGTTTATTATTGGAACCTTTAGGCTTAGTCAACCTCGAACCCGGATTTACAAAATATTCACGGAGAGCCTCTGAGATTGAAACTCTTGGACATAATTTAAAAAAGTTAGGATAATCCAAAATAGGAAGTTATTTTTTAATGAATCACCATTAAACAACTGGGATGATATTCATGATGAAAGTTAAGAAAACTTTATGCAGTTTTGTAAATCCAGATATATTTATCCAATTATTGAGAAAAGTTCGAGCTCTCACTGTCTAAAAAATCAGACGAAAGAATCACAAAAGCTTGTTTAAAAAAATTCTAATTCGGAACTATGAGAAGGTTATTGTTCCGTACTCTGTTTAACAATAAACATAAAAAATTGGACTGTACGACGGTTGACTGAACCTTCAGTGAAAGTGAATTTTTGAAAATTTCTAACTGTAAGATGAAAAGATGAAACTGCTGGCGCGATTGGCCGTTGAATACTGGGAAGTAATTATTTACGCCGCTCTGCAATAAGTTTGAGTTATTAACTCGTTTCTGTACAAAAATGACAATCAATTAACCTTATTCCACGGAATATGTTTATGTAATCCTGCCACTCAATTTTTCCGTTTAGGGTTCCTAAAAACATTCGATTTTTCCCTTATATTAATTACGAATACATTTAAGTGGGATGGATGCCGCATTGGGATGACAGTCACCCAGGCAGGCGAATTTGCAATAACCGGGTCAAAAGTTTATGCCGTGGAGAAATCAAACATGTTTTTTTTGTAAATAAGTACAGCAATTAATCAAGGAATGTTTTACGAAGAAACCAAAGAATTTTCAATACTGTCAATCCACCAGGAAAACAACGTTGAAATATGTTTAATCAACATTGATACAACCAAAAAAGACATTAATTTCAACGCTTATTGGCGTCAACACTGTTTTTGAAGTTGCAGAAATTCATGAGTGATGATTAAACTAATGCAACTGTAGCTAGTGGTTGCATCACTTTAAATTGAACTTATAACGACAGCAATTTTGTTTGCGAAATAATAACACGAATTATATACGTTAACACGTTAATTATGACGCTATTTTTAGATCAAATCCAACCATTTTTAAACTTCTGTTTCATGAAAATGTTGACAATGCTGAATATTATTATATTAAGAAATGGATTAGTATTGCAAAGTTAAAGTATACACCACTCGTCACAAGTCAATGAATGAAGTTAGAGCGTGATTGGAAAACCATTATCAACGAAAACTCGCAAGCTTGACAATAATAAACTTACCGGCATTTGATTTGTTCCTAAAATTATACTATTGAGCGCAGTACGCACGACTGGTTCTAACTGCGCGTCATAACCCCAAATGACCCGACTAAGAACTCGCTGAAAGAGCTTGAAGTGGGATTAAATGACCTTAAATTCTTGAATTTAATGCACGAAAGCAAAAAAACTGTGCTTATTTATACTAATGAGCGACACGGACAACAAGAGAGATAGTGAAATTGTTATTTTATAATCTGGAATAACTTCGAATGAGATTGCAGGTTGGACGGTATCAAAAATATTCATTATGTGAGGTATTCAGTATAATTAAATGTGCGTTCCGTGTTTAATTTTGTTAGAAATACCTGACTCAGTCTGTACAAAAATGATCTGATCATTAAACTGGCAGGAATACGACTTCATGGTTGTTTGCTAGAGGACGTGCAGTTGAAGCAGCATCAAAGTGGACAGCGCCCCGGAACTTCCACAACCGCCAAAAGTTAACGCAACTTTTGTATCATTAGAGAACTCCTGCGAAAAAGTCTATGTCAACGGAACGGCTTCTTCAAGAAATTATCTCAAATGAACGTATATTGAGGAAACCAAATTATTTGCGCCCTCGGGAACAATTTTTCTTTCAGCCCTAATTTCTTTCCGTGTACTATCATGATCTAGTCGTACTCTAAGTACACAATTTCGTTTCGTTTATTGGATTTCGCTATATAATATATACGTATGTAACTTGACTTGATGTACGTATACAATGAGGTAGCGTTGTATGAGTAAAAGGTTAATTTGCCATAAAATGCTCAGCTACTATTTGCAGCTTAAACCCTGCATGACAGGTTAATCGGGCATTGCTCGGTAGAGGTAATTTTTGTTTGCGACGAAGTAAATGAATGGTAGCATGGATACCATTCTTATTCACGTGTACCGAAATAGTTACGAAGATATCGAAAAATAGAAAGAGCGAATAAAATAAGAGAGTATTGATGATGTCAGGCTTCATGCAGACTGATTCTGAAAATTATAGTGCTGATTATTTTATTATTTATATAAAGTGCCTCCCGTTCTCATACGGGATAAAAAAATTTAGGTTTCATTTCAGCAGTCAGTCAAAATGAGTAAAAAGAAAAATTTAAAATAAATAAATAATAATATAAATGAAATATATATACAGTGGGGGGGAAATAAATATTCGTACACTTGAAAAATCGTATTTTAATGTATGTAAGTACACAAACTTAACAGGAAAAGTGATTTAAATTATGTATAGAGAAGCATTCATCCTACCATCTATAAGTGATATGTTACCAACACCTTTTGAGGAGAAACAGCCCCAGATCATGATGTTGCCACCACCAAACTTTACACACCAAATAATCCCGCTGTTAACGTGAAGAGGTCGTTGCATTCGCTGCGGGTCTTTTTAATGATCAGTATGGGGTGGTGAGAACAACCTCGTGTTGCGTAAATTTTTGGAGATTTCCGTAATTTTATTAAGATTCAGTACCGTAAATTGTTCCCTGTTATTAGAATACAGCAGATGCGACATTCATGATCTCTTTGAGTGGCGGGTAAGCCTATGCATCTTGTGATATGCCATGGTTTACGATCTAACGATGATCTTGGTTTAAAATTCTATTGTTGTTTGCACATTTCTAACATGTTTAGATGCTAGGATAAATACTGGCATACATCACCCGATCGATTGTAATCTTGTGGAAAAGCTTGGCTTGTCTATAATATTGAACGTTTGCGTATTTCATTGATATTCCAGGTGGACGTGGGCACCAGATTTACCTTCAGCTCGAGGGTCAGAGCACTTCGGATAAGCTCCTTATTTGAAATTCCCTCGGTAACAGAAGATTTGAAGCCAATTATCTTCACTTGAGGACGAACCCTGTATTAGTGTGATCTGGAAGTTCTCGCTTGCCGCGATTTGACGTGCAGACCAATTTGTCAACTGTGGTATTGGTCCTCATAACGCAAATGGTTATCCCTGATTTTCGTGTAATCAATTTTGCTATGGGTCATCCGTGCGTTTATGTATTGAGTTAGGTCTCCGGTAAGAAGGGCTTTTTTTTGTGTGCATCTGTTAGCTAAGGACTAATATGGTGCTCGAGGCAGGCTAGGGTTGAACTATTTTGAAGTTCCCAATAAATCTATGCAGCTCTAGTTATTGAAACGTTTCTCCTTTTCACTATCGCGTCCACAATATTGACGGGTAGCATATATATGTTGTAAGCTCTCCCACAACAACATAATATAAATCACTTCTCCTGTTCAGTTTGTGTACTTACATACATTAAAATACGATTTTTCAAGTGTACGAATATTTATTTCCCCCACTGTATATATATTATAAATA